CCCCTGCCACCAACCCCCAAACCCTAGGTACCTGTACACGCGATTTGTGAAGCTCTCCGCCCCGGTGAGCCCCGTGCCAGGCACGGCCGCGCCGCCGCGGCCCCGGGGGGAACGCCGCGGGGTGGCATGCGGCGCCTTTTCAGGGGCAACCCCTCCCCTTCTGCACAGCAGCTAGTGCACGCTGGCGCCCTGAAGGCTCGATATGACCACACACACACACACACGCATTAACCCCCCCCCCCCCCGAGGTGTGCATGCCTGCCGGCTGGCTGGCCTGCACCGCCCTCCTCCCTATCCCCCCTGCCAATCCACCCTCGATCCACGCATCCCACAAACCCCACCCCGCAACCCCTGCCGTGCTTCTCCCCTGCGCCGCCGCGTCACCCAGGACGCGCCCTTCTTCACCGTGAAGCTCGGCGTGAAGGTGCTGCCCTGTGTGGTGCTGTTCAAGGCCGGCGTGAGCGTGGACAGGGTGGTGGGCTTCGAGCAGCTGGGGGGCAAGGACGACTTCCCGACACAGGTGTGCGCGCATGTGCGCATGCGCATGTGTGTATGTATGGTCTGTGTTTGTGTTTTTGTGTGTGTGTGTGTGTTTGTAAGTGTTGTATGTGATTGTGTGTACGAACGTGTGTTTTGTGTGCGTGCGTGTGTGTGTGTGGGGGGGGGATTTGGGGGTGAGACCGAAGTGATTGGTGAGGGGGGGTGTTTGGGTGTCAAACAAGGGACCGTGGGGGATGGGCGAATGGGGGGCAGCACGCAGTCGCCCACGCCTGCGAGCGTGCATTCTGGCATGTGCACACGCGTATGTTCAGCGACTCGACGGGGCGCCGCAGGCCTGCAGGCCGGGCACCTCTGGCCGCCGCCCCTGCGTCCACATGGGTTATGCGCACGGCCCGCGCACCCTGTCTGAAATCCGTCCCACGCGGCGGCGGCGCAGGCGTTTGAGGCGCGGCTGAGGGCGGCCAACGTCGTCAGCCTGGCGCGGCGCGGCCCCGGCGGCGGCGGCGACAGCAGCGACGACGACGTCGAGGAGCGGCGCGCGGCGGCGGGCCTGGCGCCCACCAGCATACGGCGCGGCCTGCACAACGCGCCGCAGCGGGACGAGGACGACGAGAGCTCCGACTTTGACTGATCTTGACCTGTTGACCGGCTGTTCTGCGCGCCGCGGCGCGGCCCAGCACGACCCCCCAAGCCTCACCCCATTGAGGCTCCGACCCGAGGCGGCCACCCGCTAGCGCAACCCTGTGGCGGCGCGTCGGGCGGCGCGTGGCCAGCGGCCCCTGCCAGCGGCGCGTCCCTAGTGCCTCCCCCCGCCGCCCATTTTCTTCCCCTGCCCCTGCTGCCGTCCTTGATGTTGACGAATGGCGGCTGTTGCATTTCCCGCGGGGACGCTCATGTACGCCCTCTGTTTTCCTCTGCCCCTGCCCTGTGTAATTTTAGGCAGTGCGCCAAGGTGCAGGCGAGGGCAATCCTGTCACCTGTAAGCCACAAGCTGCACCGATTAACCCCTTGCCTTACACCCTAGCAGGGCCCCTGTCTGCACACTTGGCACGCCCCCCCCCCCCAAAAGGCAGGCGCCACTAGCATGTGGGCTGTGCCACAAGGCTGCGTGGGTCAAGCACCAAGCCTGGGGCCCCCTGCCGCTTGAAAATGGGGCCTTGTTTGAATGTTACCGTTGCGTGTGTGGATTTTTCAGGTGATAAGCCAAGGGGATAATGACAGTGAAGGGGCTCCAGTTTGTTGCGTGGCGCCCCTGTGAGACACATGTGTGTGTATGCGTTTGCGGCGCGACGGGCGTGGACATAGGCGCTGCTGCTGCTGCTGCTGCTGCTGCTGCTGCCACAAAGGGCCGCGTGCTGTGCTCTCGCAGCGGCCGCGCGCGCCGCGCGCCGCAGGGGCCGCGCCTGGTGGGCTGCTGGCCGGCTGGCGGGGCGGCGGAGTGCGGGCGCTGCAGGGGCGCCGCGGCGCCTGCCTCCCAGCAAACGGCCTGGAGGGGGCGCTGCGGGCGCCTCAGGGCCGCAAGAAACGGGCGCACGAAATTCCATGCCGCGTCTGAATCGTACTTGCGCAGTGTATGCTGCACCAGCGGCGGCGGGGGCTGCTCGGTATGTGGCAAGAGGGGGCGGGGTTTTCGGCGCGCGGGCGCAGGCAGGGCGGCGCGTTGGCGCGGCCCGGAGGGGGGAGGCGGCCTGTGAGCGCGCAGAGTGAAAGCGCGCGGCTCGTTGCCATTGGCAGGGCAGGGATTATAGACAGCGGGGGAACACGCCTGCATCCCCCGCTAGTTTGGGGGGCGGGGACGGTGGTCCCGGCGCCATTGCCCAACGTGGGTTGCCGAGGGCGGCGGGGCGTGGCTGGCTCGCTGGGCGGCCAACAGCCCGGCCGGCGGCGAGGTGCGATGCGATGCAATGCGCTGCAAGCTGCTGCGGCGCGAGCCCCACCATAGGGGGGCCCGCGACGTTGGGGGAGAAAGGCCTGGAGGGGCGACCGATGGGGGGCAGTGCTGCAGTGCTGGGGGAGGGCGAAAAGAGGCACCGCAGAGACAACAGACGCACGCACCACCACACATACCCACAAACACGTCGACGGACAAGGGACGGGAGGCGTCACTGGGATGCAAGTACGGGGGGGCGGCGGGGCGCACGCGCTTGCCGGAAACACGGGGCTGGGTTTTTTGGCCCAGAGGGCAACTGGTCAGGGCCGGGCAAGCGATAAATGGGTCAAGCCGGCCCGCCGCGATGGGGGAGTGCAGGGCGCGGCGATGAAAGTCGAAGCTGCGTTCACATCAAAGGGTTGAACAGTTGGGCCAAAGCCATCGCATCAAAATATCCGGCGACGGCCTGGGGCAACCCCCCAAGGCCGGCCGCGGGCGCGCGGAAGGTGTCGCCGCCATCATGGTTGACCAGGGCACGCTGCGCGCGGCACGGCCTTCAGGTCATTCGACTTGAAGATCGACCGGATGCCCTTGACGGTGCCCGACAGCCCGCACAGCCGGTCGAACGCGGCCTTGCTGTACTCCACGTTGAAGACCGGGATGCCCGCCTCCTGGAACGGCCGGTAAAGCTTGCACTCCGTGTACTCGGAGCACGACTCGTTGATGGCAAAATCCACGAGGCCGGTGGGGGCCAGGTCTTTGACTTGGAGCAAGTCGTTCTGCAGGGTACGGTAGTATGGGGGAGGGTGGGTGTCCAGCCCGTGAGGGGCGGTTCGACAGCAACTGCGTGGCCACCGTCACAGCCGAGGGCAGCTGTTTCAGGGGACACGCGTGTGCGCCAAGCAGCATCAATGTGTGCACCGAGCTGCTGCAACAGCATTCCAGCTGCCCACACGCATGCAAAGCAACTGCACGTCGGCGGCCCCAGGCCGCTGCAGCGCCGCGGGCCGCACCTTGAGGCCGAACGCCAGCCCAAGTTCGTGGGCGGCTGTCGCCACCTTGGCGATGAACGCCAGCTGGTCTGCCGCCGTGAAGTTCTTCAGGCCCGTGTCCAGGTTGACCATGTCCACCTGGGGGGAGAAAAACGGCCAGTTCGCGGATGTGAGCGGCTGCAGCAGCAGAGCTGGCAGGAGCGGACCGCCGCCGTGGCGCACTGGGGGAAGGGGGGAAGGCGCACAGGGCGCCGCCCGCTCCCTGCTGTAACCCAGCAGCTCTCGCCTCATCCAAGCCACCCGGAGCAGCCACCATGACTCCCCCCCCCCCACGCATACAACTACGCTACGCTGCGCTGACCGTACAGCTTCCAGCATGCACATGGATCGCTTGCATCATGAATCATCATCAGTCACCACCGCTCACATTGTCAGCCTCGACCCCCAGGAAGCCCTTGTCCCTGCAGAGCTGCAGCCGCTTCCGCACCACCGCCAGCACGCCCGGCTGCCGCACGTCCGCCCAGCGCTCGCCCGCCCAGTCAGCCATGGGCTTGGCCAGCGCGTCCTTTGGAAAGTCGGCCTTGTCAGGCCGCCCTGTGGATTGAGAGGGTGGCAGGAGCCGGTCTTAGGAAAGAGGGGGGGCAGGTAAGCTGTCCGGCAGTAGAGCGGGAGGTGCCCATGTTCACGCCGTCTGCAGCACCAGGATAGGGCATCACCTATGCGTGCGACGGGAGCCGCGCGGCACATGGCGGGGGGGGGGGGGGCAGCGGCGCAAGCGCTGCGGGCACTCACAGTCCTCAAAGCCGACCGAGAAGTAGCAGATCGGGTAGCCGCCCGCCGCCTTGATGGCCGCCACTGCAGCTGTGGGGGTGTCGAACAGGTCAATGCTGTACACTGACACGCCCTTCAGCAGGTGGTCCTTCGGGGAGAACAGCTCGCCGATCTGGGGGGCCAGGGTCCGGGGCCGGGGG